AGGAGCTGACTGTCGTCCTTGTTTGGAGAGGTTCCCCCGCAACTTTCCTGATGAACACACTTTTTAGTGTGGCAGTAGCAGAGAACCGAGTGTCTGCACATTGCTCCTGGAACAGGCTTTCCCTGCATGACCTATCCTCTTTCCAACAGGCCAGCAACAGCCCCGTGGGTGTCTGCTGCAGCAAACCAGGCAATCCCTGGTGGGTGCAGCATCAATGAGAGCACAGCAATGCAGTCATTCCCCAGCGCTGTGTATCTGAGCCCAGCACATAGCATGGGATAAGTGGTGCTCAGCCCTTGTCATCACCATGTCAAGCAGTCTCTTGGACATGAGGAAGAGGCATGAAAAGCTGAGCAGCACTGACAGTCAGTGTAAACATGGCATCTGCTTGTAAACAAGCAGAAAATGCTGCCTGGGTCAACATGCCTACATTGTCTGCTCTGGGACCCCTATGAATAAAGTTTGCTGTCTCAGAACAGAGCAATCTTTGGGCCGATCTAGGTTTTTTTCCTCTGTAGAATTCTCAAGCTGGTATTTCAGCTTAATTTTAAGGCCCCTCTCATGTGTCCACAAACATGTTGAAGAGGCTACAGGGGCCACGCAGCAGCTCTCAGCCCTATGGCTTGGCTCCTCTCTGCTCAACACTGGCCCCTGCCCTAAGCCAGATGTTACCAGTGCGCTGCCAAAATCAGCACGCTGCCAGCTACCGGAGACAACTGCTGTGTGTGGTTCCTGTGCCTGACGTGGGTGAGCCATGTCCAGCCACCTCAGAGTCCCTGCCACCAGCAGGGTGACAGCAGGTCAAGGGATATTCCCCACATGTTCTGAATACCAGACGCTACCAAGAGAAACACAAGTCCTGTTCTGCCTCGGGATCAACAAGAGTTTAGCAAAAGCAATGGCTAAAGGCTAAGCAAGGCCAGATGTTTGGGGGTGGACAGAACTGCACAGATGGGAGAACTCATCAAAGGTAATGTGTTTCTAAGGAGGGGTCTGCTATGGCCTTTATGTTTACCGAGCAGTTTCGGCTGTCTCAGGTTTGCTGTGCTCAAACAGCTCCTAGCAGGGCCCTTACCTTGTTCCAGATGAGGACAGGGGTTGGGATGCCCATGACTTCACAGCTCAGGTAGATCTGTGCTCCTGTCACATTCCAGATGTCCTTAGGAGGGGTCACAATGGAGGGGCCTGCAAAAAGGGAGAAATGCTTTTAAGCCTGTCTCCTTGGTAGCCTTTTAAGTGGGGCCAATCACTTCTGATGGGTTTTGAGGATGAGGGGAAGCAGGTCCCTGCTTGGAGCAAAGCTTGCTGGACTAATCCCACATCACAGCACTTCCCTCTCCAAAGCTACACATGCATCCAACCTCACACTGTTCAGGCTGATGAGCACTTCCCCTAGATAGAAACTCAAGTGTTGAGCAGTTCAGACGATCTAGTCGTGAGACTGAGGTTAGAGGTAAGAGAGTGTCTGTATTCTGTTATCTCACGAGCTGAGCAGGACTTTAGCAGCTGCTGCCTCTGCTCACCATGCAGCCACCAAGTGCATCGTTGACACTTGGCTAGCATGGAGGAAAGGACTCCCTAGGAGACAGGGCAGGTCCCTCTCACTCTCCCATGCCACTGAGAGCTTGGCCAGCTTTGCAGTAGGATTTTAATCTGCAGCAAAGCCCATGGCAGCTGGCTAGCAGAACTCAATGTTATGCTGCTCCTGTTTTATGTGTGTGCAATATCCTGCCAAAGGAGGCTGGCTGGAGGGTGGCAGAACTCTCCTTTGGGGGGGATCTGGGAAGGGAACAGGTGAATGTAGAGCTCCATTTTTCCCTGAGAGCTCCAATCCCTGGTTAAACAGGGAGTTGTTTCCAAAGCCAAATGGGAACAGAGCTGTTTTGCAGATTGACTGGAGATGTTTACCCCTCGGGCTGGGAAATGTTGGAGACGTAACCCATATCCCAGAAAGGGAAGAATGGCCTTTTCTGTTCAATCCCTCTTTAGCGGGACTGTTTTGTGAAAAGCAGCAATTAATCCCCCACAATAGGAAGTGCAGACTAAAGGAGCACATAGTGTTTATTTCCAGTTATTGACATCTTGAAGAAGAGCAGCTTTTCCCCTTCTGCTCTGAAGATGCATGCAGTAACAGGCAACTGAAGCTCCCATTAGGCTCCACCAGAAGGCGGCATTTCCTGTGCAAACAAGTACTCCAGAGCCAGCCTGACTGAAGCCCCTGGGTATGCTGGCTCACAGAGCATGGCTCATTCCCAGCCCGATAAAATTCTGGGAGGTCCTGATGCTCCTTCTGGGGTCCTAACCATGCGCTAACCTCAGCCCTGCATGTGCACTCTGCCCTGCAGCCCTCTTGCAGGCAGTGGGGAGCAGGGTTCCAGGTGCATCCCACTGCACCAACATCTTCCAGCACAAAGCTGGCATCCTTTTTTCTCTTCAGGATACCACACTGGTATCACCAGCCAGAGGACATCAGCCATCCCTCTGTCTTAGCCCAAGGGATGCTGACGTGTTTCCCCACTCCTGAGCAACTTGTGCGATCCCAGCAAAGTGTTTGCTCTTCTGAGACTTCCCTGTCCAGGAATGACTGTACACAGCCTGCTGGTGGGAAGCTGCTAAGAGACATGGGGTGGCTGCAGTCCAGTTTCTCCATTACAGAGGTCCCAGTCCTTGGTTTAACAGGAGGTAGTTGTGCAGAAGCAGGGAAGTTTTATGTGTAGCCCCAGGCGATGGTTAAAACCACACCTAATGATCAGCACCCGCTGGTTTCCTGGCAGACATCACAACCCAGGTGCTCCTCATCTGCACAGAACTGAGTCTCAGCTGAGAAAAGGATTTAAGCAGCCTTTCATGGCCTTATTTACCCTGTTGTTGGTTGTACTGCTGCACGAATTGGTTTCTGCGCACTGTCTAGAAGAGGGGTGTGTTGGAGTCACAGCACCCTTTCCCGTGTGGAAGGGAGCTGGAGTTATCCTTGCTCCAGGTGGCCCAGAGCAGATCTGTACCTCCAGACCATGCCCAGCTCTGCACTGTCAGCAACACCCCGCTGGAGGTTGTTCCCCCGGGTACAACCGCAGCGTAGTATAGTGGGGTGATCTGTGGGGCTCGCACCCCCAGCGCACTCCTGCCCGAAGTACTGCCTGGCCCCTGCACAGCAGCAGGGCTGCGCCCAGCCCAGGGTATTGCCATCTCCATGACGGGGCCGCCTCAGGTCACACACTCTGCTCCCCTTCCCCAGTGCCACCGTTTCCTGTGCAGCCCTGCTGTTCTTTTTCTGGTGTCCCTTGAACAATACGGACAACAGGGCAGCAGCTGTGGCGGGATCTGGATTGTCCCCAGGTGACTTAGCTCATCTCATGCTCTGCAAGGACCTCCAGCAGACGTGCACCCAGCGTGGCCTGCTGCTGCTGTCGCCTTCTGCTCCAGCTATGCAAAACCCTCCATGCATAAGGTGCCCTTCCCAGGGCAGAGCTCGGGGTCTGTCCCCAAGAGGCAGGGCTATGTTTGCCCCTGTATGACACTGTCCTCTTTATCACTGGTCACTGGGGTTCTCCATGAGGCAGGAGAAACATAGCTGTCCCCAAATGACCACCACTTCCCACTGCAGAAAAGGAGAGATCCTGATTCTTAACGTTAAAAGCCAGGAGGATTTTAAGGCGCTGTTATGCTCTTCCAGAATCTGGCTCAATTCTTCACTGGTTGGGAATGGGCAGCATTCAATGCATCACTAAATACACTGCCTGAGGTATCTCAGTCTCGGCTGCCACTGAGTTTCCCCCTGTATGAAGGGCCTGGACACCCTCTGCCCATGGATGTTTGCTCACCCTGCCAGGAACAGGTCACACCAGGATTTTTCTGCAGCAACTGCTGGCAGCGGAAAAGAGAGAGGGAATTTCCACCACCTCCTGTGCGAGGAGAAATTGTTTATATTCCCTGGAAAGGGGAATTGCCTGCACAACTTCACAGCGAAGCTCCGGCTGGCTTGGCACAGCAGCCACAGCACAGTGAGAGCTTGGCCATTACGAGGCAGCCCTGAGCTCAAGATGTACATCCTGATCTAACCAGGAGGAACGCGAGACTCTGCCTCTGCAAAATGAACTGGGAGCATTCACAGGCCTCCGCCTCTATCCTGCTCAGCCCTGAGGCCGGGAGGGAATACACATCCTGAGAGATGCAACAGTGTCGTGGGAAGAGTCAGTGTGGTCTCTCGGGATATTTGACTTAAATCCAGACAGCCAAAACTCTAGAGCTGGGCTTCTTCCTCTGCTAAAAATAAATGAGAAAGAAAGGCCAAGAAGTTAGCAGATTTAAAGTCAAATCACAACAGGCCACAGCAGTAGCCAGACTTCCACCCCCAGTGAGCTGACACCCAGGTGCGTGGCAGCCACCCTGCTTACTACCTGTTTTGGTCCCACTCACGCTCTCTCCCACAGTTCCCTGAAGCAGCCAGAGATGGACAGGGGACACTGCAACCTGCTACAACAGGAGAGGCAGAGGATGCCTGAGCCTTGCAGGGACTTCAGAGGATGTGAGGACATTCCCTCCTGCAAGTCACTTCTCTTGCTCTGGGAGTCCTTGTGAAGGGAGTGAGGCCACCATGTGCTCAGCAGGACTGGAAACAAGCCCACCGTGTACAGAGCAGATGACTTGATTCCCGCCAGCAAGGAGCCCCCTGGCCCTCATCCTACAGCCTGCATCTTAGAGGCCTCACTGCTCTACTTGCACAAAGGGGAAGGTTTCTCCATCCACTTCCTTCGGGCTGGGGACCTGTGGGTTGCACCTACTGATGAAAATGGTCACCACCATTGATCTGGTCGAGTGGTCCCAGCTCCCCAGCAGGGACTGAGCCAGCTTTATGTGATGCTCGCTGCCAGTACTTGCCTTGACCGTGCAGGAGGAGCTTCTTGGCGGTGCAGGAGGAGCTTCTTGGCCAAGAGGACAGCACAGGCAGTTGATGAAGATCAGCTGCTTTCCGCAGGCACTTCAGGCATTTCCTCCTTGCTCTGCCCATTGTTCGTAAGACAAACAGCTCTCCCTGGCCCGGGAAGGGTCTTACTTACAGAGCCAGCGAGCTCATTCACCCCGGGAGAGGAGCCTGAAAGCGCAGGGACTGTTTTTGCTGGAGATCACAGGGAGCTGACAGCTTGCGTTATGTCAAAAGCAGCAGCCAGAGAGGAGCTCCCATTGCTGTTATGTAGTTGCTTTTCTGCAGCAGCAGCATGCAGCACAGCCTGTGCCTTCCCCGATGAGGCTATCATTTGGCATCTGCTCCTGACACACCTCCCACACCAGGCACCTCTTCTCTGCTCAGCCGCAGCAGGCAGAGGTCTGGCATCTTCCAACCCATCCACCTGCCTCTCGCAGATAACAGGATGGTCTATCACAGCTCAGGGTTAGCTGCTCCTCGGTGATCTTCCTGTGGTGTCCACACACACAAATAAATCACACTCCAGCAAGCAGAGCAGTAACTTTTTTTGCTAAAATCAAGGGGGCTACAGGTCTGTCTCTAAAGGCAGACATAGGCTCAGCATCAAGCGCTGTGGGGTATACCCTGGTGCTTGGGTGCACATGGGAAGTCCCAACCATGAACAGATGAAGCTGTGTACTGCACGCTGAAGCTTGCGTGAGTGCCAGCCTGGTTCCCAGCCAGCCCTCCTCAGCAGCCCTGTGTGAAACACAGACTGAGAACATTCCCCGTGAGACAGCAAATCAAAGCAAAAGCTAGACACTGTTCATCCTCACAAGCTCTTGCAAGTCTGAAAATAGACCCACTCCAGTCTCCTAAGTTGCTGGGAAAGTATTTCCCTTCAAAATTTCTTTATATGGAGAAGGGGAAACCTTCTGTAAGCAGCATCTACTCATTCTAGTTGGCATGGCCTCAGCTGCTCCCTCCCAGGTCAGTGCTCTCTGCGAGAGGCAGCAGCAGATGGGATGTGTGAGCAGCTTCTGGCCTTCCCCATGCCCAAAGCTGCCTGCTGTTTTCTGGCAGATTTACAAGCCTCCTTCTTTATCTCTTTCGGAAGGCATTTCTCCCCCTCCTTTAACCTGGCCTTGAAGAGATTAAGGAGTTACAGAAAGAGGCTCCGAGACATCCAGACCAAAGGAGATGCCAGATGATAAGCCTGATGGGATGCTCCCCCTCAGACTTCAGCAGCCCAGAGTCCCTGGAAAGGCTGTGAACACCAATG